GGAACACAGATGGAAGTGGCCAGTAATGTGTTTGGCCTCCGAACTAACAAATACAATTTAGATACTAGTATATAAAAGAATTCTATGGAAACAATTATCAAATTGAGTGACAAAATGACATGTGTTGAGCAAATTATACAATCTGTTAAAAGGTTTGATAAGATGAACATGAGAGAAACACCAATTAAATAATTACATGTTTGTTTCTATAAAGTATTAGAGATTAGTGAAGGCTAACACTCTGTCCCTGTGTAGTTCACGATAATTGTCCTTAGAGTGTCACTATGCAATTAAGTAAAATTTAGTGTTTCATATTCTAACAACTAATAAAGATTTAGAAATAATTTCAATGAACATAACAGTTGACACAGATTTAAGTTCAAAATAAAAGTCCAAAAGAAATATTGTAAAAAGCAAATTCAAGGAATTGTGGTCCCCCGCTTTCTGTATCTTTGTGGGTGAGATGTCATTATTTATGACATATTGTGCGTAATATGAACATCCTATCATATGTCATTTATTTTGAAATCATCACTGAACTCCAAGGCCAAGGTGAAAGGGTCAAAGTTTTTGGTTTTCAATGAAAGGTCTTCTCACAAGGATTATGTATGTAAAGTAATGAAAGCCCTAGCCCTTACCATTCAAAAGTTATGGCCAAGGTTAAAGTTTTTTATAAGTATGAAAAATTTCCAAGGTCAAAAGGTCAAGGTTGTTGGTATCCAATGAAAGATCTTTTCACAAAGAATATATATGTGAAATATGAAAGTCCTAGTATCTACCATTCAAAAGTTATTACCAGAGTAAAAGGTTGGAATTTTTGTGTAAAAAGGGGTCATACTCCAAGGTCATGGTCAATATGTACCAAAAGAAAGGTCTTACGACAAAAAATACATATGTGAAAAATGAAAGTCCTAGTATTGGCAATTCAAAAGTTGTGACTAAGGTCAAAGTTCTTGAAAAAAGTCTTACTCAAAGGTCAAGGTCAAAGGGTCAAAGTTCATGGTATCTAATGAAAGATCTTCTTACAAGGACTACATATGTGAAGTATGAAAGCCCTAGCCCTTACCATTCAAAAGTTATGGCCAAGGTTAAAGTTTTTTATAAGTATGAAAAATTTCCAAGGTCAAAAGGTCAAGGTTGTTGGTATCCAATGAAAGATCTTTTCACAAAGAATGTATATATGAAATATGAAAGTCCTAGTATCTACCATTCAAAAGTTATTGCCAGATTAAAAGTTTGGAATTTTTGTGTAAAAAGGGGTTAAACTCCAAGGTAAAGGTCAATATGTTTAAATTGGTGGTACCCAAAGAAAGGTCTTGCCACATAGAATACATATGTGAAAAATGAAAGTCCTAGTATTGGCAATTCAAAAGTTGTGACCAAGGTCAAAGTTCTTGAAAAAAGTCTTACTCAAAGGTCAAGGTCAAAGGGTCAAAGTTCATGGTATCTAATGAAAGGTCTTCTTACAAGGACTATATATGTGAAGTATGAAAGCCCTAGTCCTAACCGTTCAAGGTTTATGGTCGAGAGTAAAGTTTTTCAAAAGGTGGTAAATCTCCAATGTCAAGGTCAAAGTTGTTGGTATCCAATGAAAGGTCTTGTCACAAATATATATATGTGAATTATGAAAGTCCTAGTTTCTATCATTCAAAAGATATGGCCAAAGAAAAAGTTAGGATTTTTTGTGTAAAAGTGGGTCAAACTCAAAGGTCAAGGTCAAAAGGTCAAATTTGGTGGTACCCAAAGAAAGGTCTTGACGCAAAGAATACACTTGTGAAATATGAGCTCCGCTAAATCAAAAGTTATGGGTAAGGTTAAAGTTTTTGTGACGGACTGACAGACGGACAGACTGACAGACTGACGGACAGACGAATGAGATTTAACGTCCCCTCGCTTTCGCGAAGGCGGGGGACAAAAAGGGTCAATTCTGCACGGTGATAGTATTGTGAGCGTGTAGATTTGGACGGTACTAAGATTTCGTCTGGAACTGCATCCGTTGTTTGCAGAGCGAACGGGGTAAGGGAATGTTGGCGTAGAGGGCACGAGGTATAAAGTAAAGGCGCTGTGTGGCCGTAAGGTAAAAATGAAGTATACAGTAGGTGTGCCTTATTCCCAAGGGTCCACCAATATGCAATTCCAGAGATAAAACAAAGGATGAAGGGTTCCGAATTTATTAGATGAGTCTCAACCATGGCAACAGTTAATATAAATCAACAAACAGACATATTAAAATGATCGAGTCGGATATGGCCGAAGTGGCCCCGGACTCAGAGTCCTGACGAGTCGGACGTGGCCGAGGCTGGCCTCCGTTTATTCCAGATTAAAGGCCCTGTAACACCAAGCTGCGTTCACACGGAGTCATTACAACGTTGTTAAATTTTTAAAATCGCCGTGAAATCGCAGGAAAATTGCACAGATTTCTGTTCAATTTTCACAATATGAAGATGTCATGGCGTCCTTACGGCGACGGATGCGATTCTACGGCGATCTCATGGCGTTCTACTGCGTTCCCACGGAGATCTCTCTGCGATTGACTGCGCTTCCGCGGAGTTTTCACGGCGCATTAGGAGTTTTCACCTCGTGTTCACGGCGTTCTCACTGCGCTTGCTGCGTTCACAGTACGTTCACAATGCGTTCTATAAACATTGATATATATTCAGAAGGAATGTAAAACATTTTTGTTTAAAAATTCGAGTAACACGATGAAAAGACTTCTAATGACGCCAAGAAATATTCTAGATAATTAAAAATGCTCTATTTAAATAATTTAGTACTAAATAATTAGTAGTTAATAGTTTTATGATTAAACTCCTTTTTTCCAATTTATCGGTTCGGATGTGTTGTTAGATTTTCTTTAATTTTATTAAGTAAAAAAATAAACACAATGAAAAGTTTTCCACAAAATTTAAGTGAAACAACAGAACAAGTTCTGGTGTAATTTTCTCTGGAATTATTGCTGATCAAATATGATCCTATTGCTCTTGTTTGTGAGCTGGTTGACACCGGTCTAACAACGCCGTGAAAGCGCATTGTGATCGCCAACGGACGCTGTAGAGACGACCTGGGAGCGCAATGATCGCAATGACAATTCGGTGCTGTCGCTGTGTAATCGCAGTCGAAAAAATCACAAGACGATAAATATCATTAGATGCGCCGTAAAAACGCGATGGAAACGCAGTGACATCTCCAAGGACTCCGTGACATCTGCTTCAGGTCTCCGTGGAAGCGCAGTCTATTATCACTGCGTTTGTGCCGCGATCATGTGCGTCTTCAAAGCGTTCGTACGGAGCTCCCACTACGTTGTCGGAGACCTCACTGCGCTGCTACAGCGAACATACTACGTTTCTACTGTGTTTTTATCAGACCGCGATCACACGGCGCTTACTTTGTGCATGCCCAAAGTGATCGCCGTCCCCTGGCGTTCTAGAAGAAAGCAATACCAATCATGCAAGATACCTTGTTCAAACACGTATAAATATACAAATATACTTAATTGAATACAAATGTAAATGACCTTTCTTTTTTCATTATTTTTAAAATAATTTTTTAATATTCTTTAAAAAAAAACAATATAAAATTGATGCCAAAAAGCCAGGATGTCCAAATGATAACAAGATTGTTTGGGCATGTGAAAGAAAAGTGACATGTTTGTCCTTTACGTATTTTTTTTAAATTGAAAAAAGGAAAATTACTTTCAAATGCTCATCAATTTAAATTCAAACTGAATATTAGCTTATTATCTTATTAATTATAGAAGCCAATTTAATATATTTATCAGTATTTTGATCAAAGAGAGTCTCTTTCTTAGATATGATGGGATTCTACAATCCGTTTCCAGTTACACATTTTTAGATCAAGTAGAATACAAGACTTAGTGTGCGGTTTGATCAGAAACCATTGTCTTATAAATCTTTCTAACGCTTAAGTAAACATTCGTTTTCAATATCGCATATTTTTTATAACAAAACATGATTTTTTAAAGGGGGGGGGGCAAATAATATTCCTGATTAATTTTGCATTTTAAATTTAGATATCTGTAGCTATCCTATCACACACACATTGATATTCTTTTAAAATCAATAATGAATCTTTGAAAAAAATATTATCAACAAGTAAAATAAACCACTTAAATAAACCCCCACTTTTCAATTTCATCGCAAGTTAAAAAAGAAATTTGACCTGAGAAAACTCTACGACCGTGCGAAAATTTACGAGGAGGGATGTCTCTTTTATAAAATATAACTTTCAGCCGTAGGGTACGACGGTCCATTAAACTCGAAAACTAGGCATCTTTTTCTAGGAGTGTCACTCCACTATAAAGAAATACTGCCAAATTCTATTCAATAGGACAAATTAATTTCTTTCAAACGTACCCGTAGCATTAACGTATCTTGCTACAATAAAGTTGTTCACATTCCAGAAAAAAAATCAATTTCTATATTAATGTAAGCAATATGAATAAAATAAGCTAATAACGATTTTCTCAAAATTTCTCCCCCCCCCCCACCCCCCAACACCCGAAAATAATTTAAAGAGTATTTAAAGAGAAATTATAAAAAAGTACATATATAAAGGAAATCAAAGCTTATTTGTTATCAAAAATTTTTGATTTCAGCATAATTTAATTACAATCAATTGAATCATAAATTAAACACGTATATCAGTCTATGAATCAGTTTGTTTCGATAGAGAGAGAGAGAGATAAAGAGAGAGAGAGAAACAATTAAAAGACGGATTGCCATATTTTGTTTCAAGATGGTGTAATGAAATAGTGTAATAATGGCTTACATGATCATTTATATATTCAAATACTATTGATAGAAAACATACTGAATAAAATTCTAATGAAGTTTAATTTTGTTGTCAAGGAAGTTTTTAGCCCCCCACCCCACCCCCCCTGAAAATATTTGCTTGCACCACTTGAATTATAACCCTCTTTAGACTACATGTATGCACATATCCCATTTCAGTGAGTTGATCATTGTATGTTCAATTTCTAGATCCGTTCTCCACACTGACTGATGACGAGGTGTTGGTGTTATTCTGTTTTCTGTGTTCTGACTGCGGTCCTCCTGACTTCACTAACACAGAGTGGCTGGACATACTTAATGAGATACGACAGTACGCGTACGTTCAACAGAACGTGTACCGTAACTATAATCCTGTAACAAGTGAGGAAGCACAGCAGACTCTGGACAGACTGAAGTCAAGTGATTACCTTTGGGAAGATCAGGACAAGATAACGGAGGACACAAAGGATGAGACAATGTATTGGATAGCATCAATAGACATTAATATACCAATCTATCACAGTAGTTATGACACAGCCAGTGTGTACCTGAGATCACGGAGATACAACAGAAAACCTGGAGAGAAGTGTGTCACTAGTCCTGTCTGGGATCGCTTACTGATACGCCGTCTACAGATGAACATACTGACTCACGTCACCATGGAGGACACGGATATATATGATGAGATACACAAGATATGTAAGTCTTTGTAAAGAAATGTAATTTTTCTCAAAATACAGAAAATGTTTCAATTGATTGATTGAATTCTAAAGATTGGTATATTTATAAACGTACGTTACTTTAAACGTTCCATGATATGATTCCTAAGATGTTGACCATTGATGAGGCTTGTACATTATGGCTGATGCTTTCATTCCATCTCCGGAAGCTTTACAATTTTTTTTTAATTCTGACAACTGAGATTCTTTATTGGATTATCTGTATACATGATATACTTTTGTATAACTTTAATTCCTTAGAAATATTTTGGTGGAAATTATATGTATAACAGTGTGACAATACTCGATCATCTTCTTCTACAGTGAATATTTCAAACCAGATACTAAAGGAGAGTGAGGATAAAAGAAAAGAGTTTCTATCGGATCTAAGAAGAGAAGGGGAGGCTGTACATTACGGAGGGAGATCACAGGACAGTGTCGATCACGTGACGTGGCTCTGGAGATACGGGAGACCTGACATCGTGAGATCCTGTATAGGTCTCCATCCACACTGGGATATTTACATCATCGACAACAAAGCTTACAGAAAATCAAGTACGAAAATTAATATATTTGAAATGTTTTATTCAGGTTTATTACAGTTTCTAACGTTGGAATTTTACAGTAAAATTATTAAAAATGCACGAAAAAAAGAGAGGGGGGGGGGGTAGAATGTTTTTCCGTAAATAAAAAAAAGTGTACAAACATGAAACTTAGCCGTATTCTGCACAATGCTGAAAATATTTTCCTAACGGTAATAAGTGTGTGTATTTTGTATAGGTCAATAACTACAAAAAGCACACACCGCATGTACAGGGAAACCTTGCACACTATTATATAGTAATTTTACACAGTGTTAAGTCTACATCATGTTCTGATCATGCAATCTGGGTGATAATGAAGTTGTTTCCAGAGAATGAACAATTCTGAAACCTGGTTATTCCCGATCTCTATCCCCACAATACATGAATATATTATCTTTAGTAAATTTTATATATATATTATCGATCCCCAGAAGTTAACCCCCTCGGATTTTTTTGTAAAAAGAATGACCGGTTAATGTTTATCATTCTAATGTAATTATATTTATATGTTCACATACCCCATATATATCTATCGTTCATTGGGACGGGTTGTTTTATGTGGGGATCCTAAAGGGGGGGGGGGACCGAGATGTAATTATGAAATCTAACCCTGTTACAGAAATAAACATACTTGTATTTAGTATGTATTTATAAATTTAGAAAATAATTAATTTTAGTTTCACAACTAAACAGTAAAAAAAAGCTACAACGTAAAATAGCGACATTCAAGAATCCAAACATATTTTAAAATACAGTGTTCCAAGTTGCGACTAAAACGGTCGCATTTGCGACCAAAAAATTGGTTTTGCGACTAGAAATTAAAACTAAGTCGCATTTTCGCGACTGAGAAAATTTGGGCTGGCAACGTCCATCTTTTTATGATCGGGATCGAGATTTACGTTTTCAAGAGTCTCTATCAAGACAATGTTTGAAGATATATACTTTAATTCACTTTCCAAAGCATCGTATGGACTTAGACCACATAATGTTATGACAGCATGCTGTAATAGTCAAGTTTGATAGAACCAGAAACCTATATACATTTTTTTCTGAGAGAGTGGCATCCAAACATCGTAAACTTCTTAGAGTTTCTCTGACTTTGTTATTAGAGCATTTGGTCAATGGCTTGCATATCACAATTAAGTGTTTTGGCAGCATTGATATGAGTTATGGTTAAGATACGTAGTTGTAAGTAAACAGGTAAACATGATAAACAATTGGCAAAATCCTGTCTTAACAACCGTCAAAGTTTTATTTTCTTTTGATTTAACTCTAATTCTAGGATCAGATTACTTGTGTTCTTCTGTGTACTATACAAAGGGTGGTTGTATTTAATGTTTAAAAAATATCTCGATACATCCTTCAACTAGCAATTTAAAAGATTTCTAGTCACAGTAATTAATAATCTTCATTAAAACATAACACATGTGGAAGTTAGTTCATTGTTTTAATTGTGTTATTTACATGTTTTCATCATGGCGAGTGAAAAATTTGATTATGGCGACCGGAAATTCTGAAATTGCGACCCAAAAAATTTTAGGTCGCCATTTAGCGACCTAAAAGTAAGTGCGACTTGGAGCACTGAAATATGAAGCTTTGTTTTCACAAAATATATTTCAGAAACATTTTCCTTGATCAGAGAAAAATGAGTTGGGTCTCCTTTAATAGTGTAATATTTCTAATTTTTAAAAATGTAAGTAAAACATGTAAATTTTCCCAGAAAGGCAAAAACTTTATAAGAACAAAACATAATGCATTGATAAAACCTGTTGGTCACTGTACAGTTACATTTCTTTTTTCAGCAGTTTATGTAAGATTCGACAAACCTCAGATAATTCTTTCATTGTCATCGAACAATAAAACACTTCAGATGAGGTACATTGTACATGTAGTTGTACATTGTACATCGACCGAGGCATGTCAAGTCATTTTGTGACTTAGATGGCCAGGTATGAATACGAAAGCCCTTAAGACTCATTCGAGATTCGAGGTTCGAAATACGAGATTCGAATTTCGAGTTTTGAGATTCAAGATCCGAATTAACCAATCAAAAGGCAGGTTCAACTTTGAATACACCACTTTTTTTTGTTTTACTATCAAGAAATCGTTTAATATATTTATGACAAATGGATCATTTGCTTAACGACGTTCGATCCTGATATTTAAAGTCTTAAACTTTTTTTGCCAAGTATATTTTTAGTTTCTACATACATAGCTTAATTAAAATTTAAGACAAGAAATGGGGGTTAATGTGCTTCTTTTGGCGCTACAGTACATTTAATATGACCTTTTTGCACTGAAATTTGTGTCTTAATTAAAAATTACATCTTCGACGTTTTCCCTCCAATATTTTTATCCAATTAAAGCATGAAACAAAATGAACTCAAAGTCTATTTAGAATAAGACACTTTAAAATTGTGACTACGAAAAAGTTTCAGATTGCTTCGCATAATTAATTATTTGACCTTTCTGCACTAAGAAAATGTAATTTTTCTGGTATTGAAAATTTAATAAGCAAGAAAATTATTTTAAAGTCTTAAACTTTTTCTGAATTTAAGCAAATAGCTCAAAGGTAACTTAAATATTTAGAAAATAACATCAGAAGTGGGGGTATATGATGTAAATTTTCAGATATTACTAAAAAAGTGTCAATTTTACGTTAAAATTGGCTCATTTTTTTCCAGGATTTTCAGAATATATCTACTATATTTGTCAAACTTCGTTGAAAGAATTCATAAGAAATAATTTAATAGACATTTCAGAACCAACATAACACATTTCACTGCAAAAAACAGCTTTGTGTGCAACCAGCATGGAAAAATGGGAATCTAAAATGAACAGTACTGTTGTAGTTCAAAAGGGAAAAAAACTGATCATTTTCTTCTAAAAAACCTTCCGCCACAAAATATAGTTCCTAGCTTAACTCTACTTGAATGGATTTTAATCGCGGTTTTTTCATTGAATATAGTTCAATTTGCATTGTAGAACTCAGATTTGATGTTAGAAATTAAAAATGACGCAGAAGTTTATAAATAAAGGACAGGACCAAAATCCGCTCAAAAACTCTGGATCGAACGTCCTTAAATAATAATGCAAGAAAAATTTTTTTTGTATTAAAACGAAATAAAAAGGAAATTTGGATTACAAGAAAAAATGATATATGTATGAAAACAAAATAAATCGTTGAATTTTAAATTGTGGAATGAGTAGGTCGACATTTTTTTTAAACAAGAACATTGATGAGGGAGAAAATTATTATTTATATGAAATACTAATGAGGATACATTTATTTACATTGTGCCCCCATTTCTTTACATTGTGCCCACAATAATTTTGCCGATTTATAGAATACTATAAAAATCATAACTATTAAATGCTTGGGGCCCCTCAATTTTGTGCCCCCTCAATAAAAACTTTCTGATGACTTTTTGTCCGTCGCTTGAAAAGTGGGGGGTATTAATTTTGTTTCCACACAATATCTCGAGAACGCTTTGGGCTTTCGCAATGAAATTTTGCATATCAACTCCCTATGAACTAAGAGGAACCTTATTTCAAGGTCAAAAGGTCAAAGGTCAAGGTCATAAATTCGCAAATTCTGTCTGTAATAAAACTTTCGTTTCTGCGCGATGTCTCGAGAACCCTTTGCTCTTTTGCAATGAAATTTTACATAACAACTTCCTGTGGCCTAAGAAAGACCCCTATTGATTTTAAGGTCAAAGGGTCAAAGTTCAAGGTCGTAAATTGATACATTCTATCTGTATGAAACAATATCCTTTCCGGGCGATATTTCAAGAAGATTTTGAGCTTTTGCAATGTAATTTTATACCAAAACTCCCTAGGACCTCTCTTACCCCTCTCAAAGTGTTCTGTCCCGTTAGTATTTATTGTATTAAATGTCGCTATTTTTAGCACGGGGGCATGAGGAGAGTTATTACGTGCAGGTTCTAAAGGTGGACTTTATATTCTTATTACATCTATTAGAACTGTACTGTGTATTAAAGGTTAAATTTGACACAATGCATTGTGTAACATTTTGATAAGATCAAACGTGAAAATATACATGTGTGTGACTTCATCTTTGCATATAATTTGTGTCTGTTTAAAGCAGTTCCGTGGTCTTGTGGTATGTCTCGCTTCATATGTGAGAGGGCCTGGGCTTGCATCTCGGACGATCTAATTTTTTTTTTTCGAAAAATTATTTTTTTACTAAATGATACTGTAGTATTAAGCATGCGAAATGAAAAATATATGAGGTTTGGCTTGAACAAACTCATGAAATCATCATTACAGTGAGATAAATATTCCATATAAAAAGAATCTTCTATACACATAATAAAGAATAGGCAATCAAATCTTTATGAATTATCCATATTGGAATATTTTTTTTGCTTATGTCAATCAGAATGCATTTAATAATTCTACAAATTCAGTCAAGGGGATATGACCCCTCCTCCCACCCAGCCCCTCCCTCTGAACTGCGCATGGTTTACTCTGTCCCTAAGCGGGAAACACAAAGTCTCCGAATTAGCTTGTTTGCTTTGTTTTTGGTTGTCAAACTGAAAATGTATGGCTGTGCCCCCCCCCCCCAATGGAATGATTGTTATGATTTTACTAGTATATTAAAGTACGAGTTTGGCTTTCCAGAAAGCCTGAAATGTCATCTCTTTGGTAACAATAATGTCAAAGAAATAAAACAGAAAGGGATATATTTTAATGCAATGAATATATGGATTATTACACCTGAAGTTCCCAAATGACTTATTCAGCAAACTCCACAGTAAAGTACGCAGTTTCTTATGGCCGCAATATATATGGAAAGCCTGGACGTCTGCGAGAGCACCCAAGGTGATTTTTGGTGAAATTTCATTCTAGCGGTCTTTGTGGTTCTGGGTGTTTACAATTTACTTAAATTCAAATACTTTCCTTCAATTATATTTTTCTTAACACAATACGGAATTATCAACAATAATT